TTGGGGGCGGGAAGAGGCCCCAGGGTCTCCTGGTGACTGCACTGAGGAACTGGGTTGGTCTGGATGCAAAGTATCAGGAAGTGGAAAGGTCAACCCCCAGGGTCTCCTGGTGACTGCACTGAGCAACTGGGTTGGTCTGGATGCAAAGTATCAGGAAGTGGAAAGGTCAACCCCCACATCCAAGAAAGAGGCTGGTGCATTATGCAACCCAGGGAAGCGGAGGGAGGTGAGGGCAGGGCCAGGCCCAGAGGGCTCCTGGGGATCCCAGAAGGAACTGAGTTGGTCTGGATGTGAAGGATCAGGAAGCTGTGGTGGTTTCCCCAGGTATCTGGGGCACCAAGATAAGGAATGGGACAGTACCCAGGCTAGGAGGAGAGACGGGCAGGGGAGATGGGAGGGTGAATGAGTCTGGGGGAGTCAAGGCATGGAGGGTGCGATTGACTTACCCCGGAGAAAGGCCTGCAGGTGTTCAGGCCCAGGGAAGCAAAACAAAAGAAGTATTTATTTTGTCTTACAGTTTTAGAGGTTTCAGTTGGTAGTTTCTTGACCCTGTTTTGCTTAAGTTTTGCTTAGGCAAAACATCATGTTGGTGAGAACACCTGGCAGAGAGGAGCTTCCTTGAGTCATGGTGGACAGAATGTAGAGAAAGGAGGAGTCTGGAGATGGGGCATAACTTTCAAAGTCACTTCTTCCAACTGAGCCCACCTCCTAAAGTTTCTACTACCTCTCAAAGTAATGCCACCAGCTAGGGACCAAGAATTTGACATTGGAGCTATGATGTATATCTATTAAAACCATAGCAGAGGCCACTTTACCTCAAGACACAGAATCCTCCTTACTCTATCCTATGACAGACAGCCTGACAGTTGATGTACAGAATTGATGTTATGTATCTGTTCAGTTGTAGGTGTGCAAGCAAATGTATAGAATTAATTGATAGATTCCTAGAAATTATTTTTAAGATTTCTTTTTTATGTGCATAAGTGTTTTGCCTACATGTATGTAAGTGTACCCATGCCCTGCAACATCTGCAGAGAATAGAAGAGCGTGTCAGATCCCTTAGAACTGGAGTATATGGATGGTGGTTATGCTAGGAACTGAACCCCAGTCCTTTGCAAGAACAGCAAGTCCTCACCTACCCAGCTCTCCAGTCCCTAGAAATGATTTTTTAAAGACAGTTATAATATAGTATAATGTCATTTCCAAAGGCAAGCTCCATGAAAGCCAGGATATCTGTCTATCCCTCTGTGCCCCCAAGCATGCAGCTAGGGCTCAACACACAGCCAGGGCTCTGCACTCTCTAACTACCTGGCCCTGCTTGGAAAGGGATGTCAATTCCCAGTACCTCTCAAACCCTGTCCCCAAATGTGTACTCAGTGACCTTCCATACCAAGAACCTCAGAGTGCCAGGAAATGATTTGCTTAAGTGTTCACATCAGGTTGCCAAGTACTAGCCTATCGAGAAGCAAAACTGGCATCTCTAACGAGTCACTGAGGGTACTTGAGGGAGTGAATGGGGAGAGAAGAAAGGAAGGGGAGGAATTCCAGAGAAAGGGGTGATGCTTACTCACAGCTCCTCTGCAGAACCCCACCCAGTCCAACCAATCCTTTGTGTTAATTCAAGGTTTATGCAGCGAGCACACAGGTTCTGCCTGGCCCCGTGGTGCTGGCAGAGGTGAGTAGCCTGAAACAAGCCCTTGATCTTGAGGAACTCAGTCACAGCTGTTATGTAGCATGGAGATAGCCTAGAGAAGGGTAATTAATCCTGTTCTGAACCAGAGGTAAGAAGTGACATAGAATATGGCCACTCATAGCACTTATTTATCCATCCAACAAATAGTTGCTGAGCTCCTGCTGTGGGCCAGGCCTGTGCCAGGCAGTATGGACAGCACACAGACAAGAGCTTGCCTTCACTGAGTTAACAGTGCAGGGGGAAAAGCGGTTGATGTGCCACATACTGGGACACATAACCTCTAGCTGAGGGTCATCCATCACCCTTGAGCTTCCAGTATCCTAGGCAGAGATGTTTAAGCCTTATGGCTCCTCAGACATGCTGTGCTATAGTGTGGCTGTAATATAGGGACTGATTCCAGAAAGGAGGCCAAGGGTGTCACTGGATTGTACAATGATCAGGGACATTGGAGGTTGAGGTGATCCTTTGCCACTGGCCAGTTGCCACTCTGACTGGTTCTCAACTCTTCTCTTCCCTGCTCCATGTTGCTTGAACACTGGCACTATACAACTGCATGGTGCCTGCAGGAATCACGGGGCAGAGGGGGAAAAGGCCTGAGTGTGCTTCCTGTTCCCCCTGCTTTAGACCACCTTTCTGGCAAAGGCTGTACCCCTTCCCTTCTTTACCACAACTCCTGTGAGTGGTACTTCCCCCAGATCTTAATGGAATCCCAGAACGTGGCTCCCTCCCCAGAGGTTCAGGCATTGGTCTCTTAGCACCTGTCATTCTTACTAGTCTCCAGGTGCATCTACATATGAGCAGCTTCCCCTAAACCTGCCAACATCTCCATCAACCTCTCAAACCATCGGAACCGGTTCCTCCCAGGACCCTGGCTGATACCAAGAACTTCCTGTGGGAATCTACTTTGCATTCTACATAGAAAAAATAGTTCAGAGAGGCAGAGAATTGGTGATGATCACTGAACTAATGTGTAATCAAATGAGATAAAAGCAAACAAACTAGGTCTACTGACTTTCCAGGGACACCCTCAGCCTCCCTTCTGCAATCAGTCCCTATATTATAGCCATATCACAATCATAACATATTAGCATATCTGTTTAGGGCATTGGACACTCAAGGGCAAGTGATGACCTCCTCTGGAGGTAGCTCAAAGTTACCTGTCCCCATGGGTGTCATATCTCCTGCTGCTTTCCTCAGCTGTCAACTCCATGAGGGCAGGATCTCTTCTGTGTGGTATCCATGCCTCCTAGCTGCCAACTCTGTTATGTGTCTGCAGAACTCAGGATCAGTGCAGCCTCTGTGATCAGAGCAGGGTTGGTCCACAAATGATTCTCCGTAACAGCTCTGTGTCTGACGCCCCTCCTCCTCCTGTCAGAAGCTGCTGGAAACACCAGGGAATGCAGTGGTGTCACTATGCCGGTGCCAGCCGGCCAAAACGGACAGTACCTGAAAGGGGGAGTGAGGATTGAAAGAAATAAAAGAGACAGAAAAGATGCTTCTTGGGAGGGTTCACAGTCAATACTGCAGCCTCGGTTTATTTCAGCTCTGTCTTTTTATACAGAAGAACTCAATTAGTTACAACTGCTGTATTTCCCCACCTGTATCTGAGGGTCAGGGAGCGGTCAGATCAAAGGTTTCTTGGATCCTTTTGTTTACCACTAATGCCTCAAGGTCAGGTATTGTGAGGCTCTCCAGAAAACTTCTTCCTCCTGAATGGGCAGGTTAAGTACTGGTTTGCATGGCACAAACTCAGTAAATTCCCGACACACCTCCCAATCTAAGGTCCTCCCTAGCTCCAGGAACGATCAAGAGCTTCTTTTTTTTTCCGGTCTTTTTTTGAGACAGGGTCTCCCTGTAGCCCCAGCTGTCCTGGAACTCACTATGTAGACCAGGCTGGCCTTGAACTCACAACGATCCACCTGCCTCTGCCTCCCGAGTGCATGCGCCACCATGCCCGGCTAAAACAGTATATGAATCAAGATCTATTTTAAGGCCAAGGGAGAACATAGATTCTCTGGTCCAAAAGACTCAATGGTTTTTGACCCCAGAAGTGGTAACTCATTCTCAGTCTCCTGACCATCTCACCTCCAAAGCACACCCCTGCACCTCTACATAAAACTCTAATGTGAGACTGTTTCCTTCAGATCTCCTTAGTTCGTGTCTTAATTCATAGATATTTGGCTTAGCAGACCTACAGTAGTACCCAATCCAATCAACCTTAGTTTATCACGGGGTGGGGGAGGGTGGGAGATGAAGCCATGAGAAAGGAAAGGGATTTCTTAAGTTAGTTGCAGACTTGAATTGTCTGACTTTTGAAATGATTCCTTTTTTTTTTTTAACTGAGTTCACTCATTCCTTCACTTAACTATTATTTGATGAGTATCTACTATCTACCAGGGCAAATGGTGATCAAGATCAGGCAGGATCTGTGACCTCAAGAAATCCATAGTCCATCCAATAAGTTAGCATTGACATTATTTGGACATTTCTACCAAAACATCACTAGCCCAGGACTCAAGAAATCCAAGTTCTAAGCTTGTTCTTCTGTGTTATGTAATAGTGTTCATCAAACCGCTCAATACGGAAACTCAAATACCATCCTTAAATGGAATGAAGATAAAACAGAAAAAGAAGTTTAAGGCATGACCACATATACATAAGGCACAAAACACTAATGTGTTTCAGTTAGTCAGATCTAAAGACTTCAAGACTGGCTGAGAAGGCTCATGCCTGAGAGAGCCTTAATTATAATACAGATTATTGAGGGTACTGTAGGACTTCCCAGAGTATAGTGAATAGTCTGTGACAGTGTTCTGTGCTTTGTGGACAGCAAAGTGAAGGTCAGCATGTTGAACTAGACTTGGAAGCGGCCGTGTTCTATCCTTTTTTCTGAGGACATCTCATTTCCTCACCATCTCGTCTGCTTGTCATCTTTCCTGGGCTGCTCTGTCAGCTAAATCTTCCTGAATTAAAATATAATTTCCAGAAGGTTAAATGAAATGATGGTCATACAAATATAAAGTGAACATGTGTTAAAGATTTATTTAACTCATTAATGAGGGAACCAGCCAGATGGCAGAGCTGGCTTGGAAAGTGTTTGAAGAACTCAGTATTGATATTACATAAGCACTGCAGAAATAATGTTGGGGAAAGATTTCTTGTAAGATACAGAACTGGTTAATAACCTTCAGGAGAGTAAGACTGGTTTTCTTCCAGACAAAAACTATTTGCATCTCAATCTGCAGTAATCCACAAATCAACAAGTAATTTCACAGAGCCCAAAGGAATCCTAATAATAGTAAACAACATGTCAGACAAAAGTACATTCCCATAGTATAGGGGCTGACACCAACCTCTTGGTTTTGTAAATAAGTTTTACTTACCTCACACACGCCCCATTCATTTACATCGTTCTTGTCTCTGGCTGCTATAGTGGGATTGTTAACTGTCACAGAGACCATGTGAGCCACAGGATCAAAATATTTAATATCTGGTCTTTTGAAGAAAAAGTTTTTCAAGCCCTGAAAAGAGAAATAAATAAGCCTTGGGTGGACCTGTCAGCCAATGCTGTTCCACAACAGTGAAAGGGCAAGGGTGCAAAGACCTTTTATTGCTTTCATGCTTGGGATCATTAGTCTTGTACCGCTTCCACTCTGATTTCCACTCGACCTGTTCTCCAGACCGTTACAAGACCAATCCTTCAAAGCAACACATTTTACGTCACCCGCTGGTTCAACTAACCTTGCACAAAATCCAGAGCCCTTCTGCCCCAAGTCACTCTGTGGAAGGTGCACCTAGGACACTGCTTGTAAGAGTCCTGCAGGTGCCACACAGTGATCTACAGCTGTGTCTGTGATGACCGTGGCTTATTGTTTGCCCACCTTCCAGGGCAGCAGGGAGGCTTTAGGCAAGGAAACTGAAACTGATGATGGACTGGTAGGTCAGAGGGTACAAAGTCACAGTTGCACCAGATGAGTAAGTCTGGAGATCTAGTGTGGGGTATGAAGAAGAGCGTTAATAATACGTTGCATACTGGTCTAGAAATTTGCTAATAGAGTTTCAGTGTTCTAACCACATACACACAAAAAATACCTATATAAGGTGATCGATGCATGCATTTGCTTAACTATCATGATCACTTCACTACATATCTGTATATCAAAACATCATGCTGTACGCCTTAAATGTGAATGACAAAAGAGGAATTAATGCCAAGTAGCCCCACAGTTTCTGGGAACGAGCTTGTTTACAGATCATAGCACTTGGTAAAGCGCGCCATAATGTGAGTGCATTCCCCACAGCCTGAGACGGCATAGCTCTGAAATAAGTGCTGTGCTGAGATGCGGAGACAAGGGAGGAGACGGCCAGCTGGTAGGGAAGGACTGAGAGGACAACATCTGCTTTCTATTCCCAAGGCTCAGGGGCCAGGCGCCCTCCTGGTGTAACATTTCTTCATTCTGTATAAACAGAAAGGATGATTCTCGTAATCTCAGCAACAAAATACGCAGGCATAAAAACGGGTCATATTTTACTTTAATGAGAGAAATAAGGGACGATTTCCTTCACACAGAGAAGCCTGGGTTGCTGTAATTAACACCAAATGGTCCTGAGGCCAGTTGCAAAAATGATGAAGAGGTTGTTGGGACTGAAAGAAACCTGGGGCTTCAGGAGCTGCTGAAACATTGCCAGCATCCATTATACCTGTCCCAAGCTGCCGCCACCACCCCAGTCAGCCAGCTGCCAGCCCCTGCAAAGGAGGGCGAGGAATTAACGTCATTAAGTGCTTTCTACCTGCTTTACACACATAGAGTAATGCCGCTACTCTGCATGTTCAAAGGTGCAGAACAGGAAACATTTGCATCACTTGTGTGATCTTGGGCTCTCCAAAAGAACGGACTTCTTAGCCAAACACCATTGGGTTTTGCCTTGAGGTTGTGGAGGATGAGGGGTCCGCCCAACTGGGCATAGGCACATACACACATTACATACACACACATACACCCAAACCACATATACGTCACATTCATACACATCACACACACACACACACACACACACACACACACACACAGTCTCAGCCAGAAAGGGGCATTTCATCACCATTTTCCCAAAGACTAAAGTTCAGAAAAGTAAAGTAACTTACTTAAAAATCTCACAGCTTTGATGTTATAAGACCCTTTACCAACCAGAATCAACTTGACTTTCAAATTTCATTTATCACCATAAGAAGTGTGCGTGCGTGCGTGTGTGTGTGTGTGTGTGTGTGTGTGTGTGTCTCTAACCCAGTCACAGAGGACCTCTTCTCCTTCCCTAGTTACACTTGCTTCCCTCCTGTTCAGGTGTTGGTGCCTCAAATTGGACAGGCCACACTGGCTTCTTTGTTCGCCCTTTTAAAAGTCAACTCAAAATTAAACAGTTGGCTGGGAAGGGGCTTAGATCAGTGGCATACAGCACTCATGACATGAGATTACCTGGACCACACTCCAATCAGTTCTTCCATCTAACCAACCTTCTCCTTGAGCCCCATTGTCCATTTGTAAGATAAGAAGCATTCAAAGTCATAGGAGGAGGTGAAAGAGTTAACACAGAAGTGCTTTTGCACAGGGCTTGATACACAGAGTTTCCTTTTGGTTAGGACTGCCCATCATGAAGACTGAAACTTGAGCAGCAGAGGTCTGTCCTCTCATGAGGAGACCAACCCACCACAAGTAGCTGCTATATGTCCTCCTGTGCCCTCCCTCCATCCTGAAATTTTTATTCTCCTGCTATGTGTGTATCTACCTGCCATCTTTGTTTTAGGACCTATTCTAGTGAGTACAGACCTGCAGCCAGCCCCTGGTGCTAGCCTGGACTACTGAACTAGGAGTTAGGACCATCAGATGCCAGCAAAGGCATCTCACCTGTAGATTACAGAGGCAAAACCCAACTGTGTTTGGCCAAGAAGTCCATTTTATCAGAGAGCTCAGGAAGACACAGGTGTTGCAAATGTTTCCTGGTCTCTACCTTTGAACATGCAGAGCAGCGGCATTACTCTGGCCCTGTGCAGTTTGTCAGGATCATGTGACATTCTTTGGCCAATGAAACGTGAGTGAAGACAAGTACATCACCTCTGGTCAGAAACAATTAATGATAGTAAGAGACTTTCCAGAACTTTCTCCTTGTGCTGTTGATCTGGGAGATTTGTGTTGACATAGACTATCAGCGTCCCTGGCGAGTCTCTTGGAACCAACAAACTGTGCATGCACAAAATGAAACGTTCTTTTTTGAAGCCCTTGAAGTTGTGGAGGATGAGGGGTTGATTCCTGAGATGTAAATAAACTGGCCTATTTCACAAATGCAAAGCCAGAAGCAAAGCGTAAGCAACACGAGAACAAGGATCTTGTCCATCCTGTCATCCCCCTGCCCAGGAATAGCATAGAATGTATGGCATTGCTGTTATTGCTGAAAGACATTTTGAAACATTGAAGAATTCCAAATGTACGTGCCATGCCCCACGCTGAGGAAACGACTTGAGGAAGAACTGTAATCAAATGAAAATTAAATTAAAACAGAAGAGTGAAGGTAGGAGAGCTGACAAGGGTAATAAAGAACGGTGAGCAACGAGTCCTGCAGTATTTTAGAATTAGATGTAAGAGGATGATGAATGCTTGCCTGGGAATTGTAACATGAGTTAAGTAAGGATTATTGAAACAGAAGAGGTAGATGGTAAGAAAATACAGGATGATAGGACAACCGTTATGAGTTTACTTAGCAAAGCCCAAGAGGTTAGAGTACAAGAGAGACGCGGGTAGGTTGTCTAAGGGAGATCCCACAAGGGAGTAGAAAAGTGAAGAAATTAAAATATTTTAAAACTTCATCACCGTGGAGAGCCCAGAGCCAAATAAAACACTGAAGGAGGAAGGAATTAGGAAGAGCTATTGAACTTTTTTAGAGCAACAGAGAAGCATTGACTGTAAATATGGTTACCAGCCTCAATGACTAAGATATCTACTGTTCTGTCATTTCTAACAAATAGGTATTGGGTATCAGGTCCATGCCAGGTATTTCTGAGTGCTGGAGCTACAGGGGTAAGTAGGTCAAGGGCCCCTGCTTTCTTTCTTAAGACACAGACAAGCAATGGACAGACAACCAAACCACAAAAGTTCAGACACAGATCATCACCATGTCTACTTGAGCGAGAACTGAGCCATATTAAGGAGAACATTCTACGCACAAATAAAACCTACAAAACTCTAGGGTGGCCATAAGCTTAGTGGGTTCAAACAATGAGAAGAATGTCAGAGTGGCCAGAGCTATGTGGGGGTCAAGTGGGGTGAGTATCCCCAAACCAGCTCACAGAAGTACAGAGTCATTCATAACCTCATGAAGGCTTGTTACAAAAACAAGATTATTCTAAGCATGTAGGAAGCCATCAGGAGTGCTAAGAAAGTTGGGGGGGGGGGTTGTGCTCTGAGTTATTTGAAGACCACTGGTAGATGTGTGGGAAAAGGATGTAAAGGGCAGAGCAAGAGTGAAAGTGAGACACCAAGTGGTGGCCAGGGCCAGAGTGGTGGTGGCCGTGAGTAGAGACGAGATTGAAGTTCTTTCAAAGACAATTCATGCTGATGGATCAGCAGTCATAAGTGAAGAGAAGAAATGAATCCAGCGGATTCCATTTTTTTTAAGCGATTTTGAATAGATGGCAAATGAAGACTGGGAGAGAATAGGTTAGAGCTGGAGAGACAGGCTGTAAGCAAAGTGTGAGATAGTTAAACATCTAATAGAGAAGTCAAGAACACACTGGGACATGGGAGCTTAGGAAGACATCATGGATATACATGAATATTAACTAGAGAGAAGGTTCTTAAAACCAAAGAGAGTACTGAGCCTGCTGTCCAAAGGAAGTATTAAGCTACATATATAAAGCACTTGGTCTGGACTGAGTGTTAAGAGGCAAGACCTGTCATTGTTTTTCTGGTCTTCAGTTTTCTTTGTCATTATAAGAAAAGAAACAGATCAGCAGTGGTCACTGGGACTATGTAAGACTGAGAATGGGATTAAAAATGAAGCATGAGAAAATTTGAGGCATGTTTTGTTATGTCCATTGTGTTGATAGCTCAAAGATATGCACGCATCTCAAAACATCAAACTGTGTACTTCAAATAAGTAGGTTATTGTATGTCAATCATACCTCAATAATACTGCTCATTATAAAAATGAACAATTTCTGTCATATTTATAATGAATAATTATACCCTTATGATTTAGATAACGTTTAAAATACTTGAAATAATAAAAATTAAAGAAGTAAGATTCATTCCATCTCTGGTGACTTTTTGCTTTCCTAAACTTGCCATTGCCTTATTTGGAAGAAGAGAGTAAGAGCTAAAAGATGCATGAAAGAAAAATATGAAGATTTTCCTGAATATACGATAACGATAGGGAAGGGACTGTGCTGGTCAGGGCTCTCCATAGAAACAGACCAACAGGATATGATATGCACATATATGTAGATGAACATGATTTGTGTATCTCTAGAAAT